ATTGTCTTAGATAGGAGGTTCCATCCCTCTCAATGTGCTCAATTGCTCCACTACCAAAACTATTGAATTACTCTACATAGGCAAAGTTGTGAGAGATGAACAAAATTTATATTCATTGAAGAGTGATCATCGAGCTTATCACCATCATATGTTGATTAATCTCATTAATATCATGTAATACATTAAAAATTTTACGACCCGTCTCTTAAATTTTAGTTCTGCCACTGAGCTGCTGTCAAGCTCCAGTCCCTGTTATTTTTATCATATTGAACGCATAGTTGGAATGTCCAATATATTTCATACTCGCTTCAAGTGGGTATATGCTTCATCATTGTACAATATCAAGACATATTATAGGTGTACTGCGGTCATTAAGGTTTTGTTTGAAGGAGTTGCCATCTAACAAAACACCTTTAAAGTCATGTCGGTGGAACGGAGAAGCCGATATGCAATCTAAAATTGTAAAAAATTACCATTCTTACGAAACAACTTAGGGAAACATTCGTGAGACGCTGCTTCACCAAACGAAAGTTTTTCCAGACGTCTGCATTCACTACAACGAAACGATATTAATCTCAAAAATGATCTGTGTCCAATTAGAATAAGGCTGCTACCGTATGTGTCATAGGTCAAACCTACTAAAACAACATACTTGTAATCCTTAAGTTAACTGAAATTCCATCAGCAACTTTCCACACCAAATTGCATTAACTGCTGGCTGTGCACACCGGAATGTCCATTTCTGCATGCTAATCCATCTTAAGGTTTGATTAATCCTTAACCCTCATGATTAACAACTTTGTTGAATTTTGATTATTTATCTCGACAAAGTCAGCGCTTTTGGGTAAGAATTTATTAGTATTGATTTATGTCAACAAATTATATTAAATTATAATTATAATTTTTGTTTTTATAGTGTTTGGCTGGGTTTTAGCCTTGTTGGGTCGGAGTCGGGTTGAGATGTTTTGCTCGATTATTAAGTGTATTATATTCGAGTTAATTGTATTTGTGTCGGGTCATTTTTGAATAAGATCTGAACTCAGATAAACTTGGGTTTTGATTGGATGAGCACCCTCGTTTCATATAGTTTTGGAAAATTTACATACATATTTTATAATTCTTATGTATTTAAATGTATAAGATCTAAAACTTTCATATTTATGTTTATAATATTTTTATGTCATAAATTTTTTTGGCGTAAAAAGGTAAATTTTACTTTTAAAATGTTAGTAATTGTACTGTTTTTGATATGGCATTAAGGAATTGAGTGCCATGCATATAGGTGTTAGACATGTCAGTAATTGTGATGTTTTTGATATGACTAAGGAAATGAGTGCTATGCATATAAATATGAAAGTTTAGGCTTAAATGCATAAGAATTGGTTGGTATGTATACATCCATGGACGCATGAGATTCATATTCTTAAAATAGAGAAAAAAAAGTTTCAAATAAGCATATTAATAAATTTGCATGAATTGCAACAAACATGAATACCGACTTACATGAATCGTAACTAGAATGTATAACACAACGAATATGAGCCAAGCTAATAGTTAACCATGCTAAAAGGATGTGTGGATTTTGGCCATGGGTTGAGGGAGAGAGGGAGAGTTGGATATGTGGGCTTCGACCATGGATAGCTAAGAGAGAGAGGGAGAATTGGATATGTGGATTTCGACAATGGGTGGGTGAGGGAGAGAAAGTAATAAGTAAGTTGTGGATATGACTTGAGGCAAAATTATGTATTTTTTTACATTAAATATTATTTTTTCTTCCATATCCATCATGATTTTATGCTTGTGTAATATTTTTTTGTAGTATTTTGCATGTTATAGGAATCAAAAGTGCATCACGAAGTGGAAAAAAATGGCAAGTGTTATGAAGTTGTCCTGACATATCCATGCTTAAATGCAGCGTAACAACATCGCACTTGCATGTTTTCTGTTGTATTTATGATTTGTTATCAGTGTGGCTATGTCGATTTAAGTGTGATCACTTTGAATATAATTTTGGTCATGCCACTGTGTAGTTTATTTTATTTTGGCAAGAAAGTTCTGTTGATTTTGGCGAGGTCATAAAAGTGGAAGCTAGGGAATGATCTAAGGGAGCTGGCACAAACTTGGAGAGTAATCTAACAACATGAGGAGAGTTTTTACTTCAAACCTTAAGATTTTCTTCTTTTCCTTGAGGGAGAAAAATTCTAGATTCCTTTTTTCTATTAGCTTTGACAGGATTGTGTGGAGAGATATTGAGTTTGTGTGGGAGGAAGATAATGGATTGATTATCATTGTGTAATGAAGAGTGGTGTATTACATAGAGCGTTTACTTCGTTGTAAATTTTGTACTTACTTGCTCCAGGTTTTCTTCAATATTTTCAATAAAAGCTTCCTTATTGTTCCTTCTCATGTTGAGTAGCTATATTTCTTTCATGCTTCTATAATGCAAAAATATGATGTTTCTCATTATGTAATCCATGTATTTTCCCTTTAAACATTATTTATGTTATTGAATTATGTAGGTTGCTATGTTAACCTTCGTTACATAGTTTACTCCCGATCTAACCAATTAAGATGTAAAAAACTCTTGTGATCTAATGATTTTAATCACTGCATGGTTAAGTTTTGCTTAATTTAATATGGTTTCTAACTCTTCTTATGGCCTAGACACAGACTAATAATAACATTTTTCCTAATGAAAACTATCACGTAGGGGAATTTATATAAAAACAACAAGAAAAGACTCTACCTGAGTCCCAAGGGCATGAGCTTTACTTCCTCTAAAGGATGCTAAAGACTCTCTACATTTTGTTGTTTCCTTTATTGTTGACTGTTTGGTTTACTATTTGTAGAGTTTAATTCATATAATTGTGATCACTTCAAACTAGGTTCGGTAGTGTGGTAAATTAGAGCATCCACTATTAGAAATACTTTTGATTGTTTCATTATGGGATTGATACACAAACATAATATCTGTATATTACTTGATTGACATGCATACTTGTGTGGTTGACCGCCTTGCCTCACAACAATTTTGGGCATCAATTTTCAGCTAGCAAAGAAAGGAAGAGAAGAGGAAAAGATGGGTTGGGATTTCTGGCAAAGACGATGATCATTGAATTCTTTCAAGATTTCCCTAAAGAATTTTTAAAAGCAAATCTATGGGATATCAATGCATAAAATAATTTTCACCACTACATATAGCATAACCACAACAGCCCACAGCAGAACCACCACACCATAGCCACCACCACAACCTACAGCCAACCACACAACCACAACACAACCACCACACCATAGCCACCACAACCCACATTACATCCACCCAAATGTAGGATCATTTGAAAACTTAAAAGTTAGCAAAATATGCTTTGAATTTATACTGACAAAATTATTTTATTTTCCAGTTGCATCTTACTATTGTGGGGATGTATCAGAATTTATTTGTAGCCTTCTCCTATAGATAATGAAGATGGTGTTTGTGTGTTATTGATGGTGATCGTTGAAAAAAAATTTCTTTCAAGCGTTCCCTAAGGAATTCTTCAAAGCAAATCACACGCAACCACCATAAGACACACCATAGTTACCATAAGACACAACACATCCAACACAACCCACAACCATCACACCAGAAGCACGACCACTATAACCACCCAACAATCCACCATCCCAGTAAACAACCATCACCAAATCCACGGACCAACACAAAACCACAAAGAGAAAAACCAATCTAAAATCAATTAAAAACCAGCAAGAGAACAACCAATCGAAAATCAACCACCAAATATAGCTCAAAAACCATTGCAAAATCATAATGCCAAAGAAAAGTTGGAAGAGAATACAGCAGGCCGAAGGAGAGGAAAGGATTCAATCAAATACGAAGCACAATTCACAGACTGAACAAGAGGATGAGACCAGGGAAGTTACCTTTAGGGTGACGAGAGAGGGAAGCTCAGTCACGAGAAACGAGAGGGAGAAGCTTGACTCAGTCATGAGAGAGGGAAGGGAGAGCTCGGTCTCGAGAGGCTAGGGTAGTAAAAAGAGGTCGGACAATTCATACAAAACACGTGTCGTGAGGTCGAACCCGTGTCCCACCTTTTGTCTGAAATTATTCAAAACGTCGGCGTGACACATTTCAACAATGGGTAGGTGAGGGAGAGAGGGAGAGTTGGATATGAGGGCTTCTATGTTAGCTAATAATTAACCAAGCTAAAAACACGTGTCGTGAGGTCGAACCCGTGTCCCACGTTTTGTCTGAAATTATTCAAAACGTCGGCGTGACACGTTTTTCAAACGATGAAAAAAAAAATTTACCACAACTTGGGGCCGCACCGCACGAAATAAGCTACCCCAAACGAACCCTAAGTCTTTATCACCACTAATATCACATCTTATTGTTAATAAGGTCAACTCTTATCATCAATATCAGCTTTAAGATTCACTATCATTGATTGAGTCATTGCGCACCATCACTACCAATATTAACAAATGATGTCGACGTCAATACTTATCCCAGACTTTTTACTCTCTAGATCTCTTTTCTCTAAAGAGGGCTACTAAATAAATAACCAACGATTTCTCGAAGCCAACCCAATATCTTAAAACTCCTCCAATTTTCATTTATAAAAGCTAGCATCTATAATTTATACTACGATGTGTCAATGCCTTCATTATAAGGAGGGGCATTATTTATAAATAATTATACACTATAGTTTCATCATTTTAGTGGTACCAGATCCATTCCTATTCCTCAGATATTCATATTCAAAGATATCTCCTATGAATTACTTTTAAATTTTCTTATGAAGCTTTTTGATACAATATAATAAAAATGATTTTTTTTAAATTAAAAATTCTAACTTAGATAAAAAAAAGAACATGCATGAAAACAGAAATTAATTTGATGAGGCACCTTCCGCTGCATGAGTTAGAACACGATAAAAACTCAAACTTTAAAATTCTTATTTTTGGTCGTGTTACGAGAAACCAAGTGCTTCACAAAATTTAGCACAAAATAAATATATCTTAGTAATAATCACGAATTATTTTAAAATATAAACCTTTTTCGAGTGCTAAAGATCGATTTTTTATTTCCCCTCACCTCACTTCGTACCCCAGCTGGCCTGAAACCTAATCTCGCTTGCAGTGCTGATAGAACTGGAATCGGTTGAAGTTATTCAGAAAGAAATCGGAATCATCGGAGAAAGGGAGGGTGAAAATGGTGGCAGATTTGAGAGGGAAGCCAGCCTTATTAGGCTATCGCATGCCGGCAGAGTGGGAGCCACATGAGCAATGCTGGATGGGTTGGCCTGTGAGTTTTCCCACTATCTCTTATTCCTTCTTTCAAAGTAAAAGTAAAAGCTGAATTTATCAACTTGACGCACTTTGAACTTCTGTGATGCTATTCTGATTCCGGTGGTGTGGGCATCGCTTTATTCGAATTGATCCTGCTTTGATGATTTCTGTCTCTTTTTGAAGCATCGTGGGCTTCTTTCTGTTCTTTATTTGAATCGGAATATTAGATTTGATTCCTGCTTGCTTTGTGTTGCTTCCTTATGATTATAGAAGTTAGATTCCCTGCTTTTTTCTAGTTATGTCGCGTATAATTTTGGCATGTAGATTCAGTGAGTAAAGTAATCTATCTAAGGATTGTTTGCTTCTTGTTTGGTTATGTTATCTGGAAGGTAAGGGATTTGACAGAATGCTCTTTTATTTTTCATGTTCGTGAGGGATGGAATAGGGGCTGCTGTCTGAAGAATGTGTTCGCCCTGATTGGTTGTTTAGAGAAGAAAAGAAAGGGTTATTTATCATCAAAATTTTGTACAAGAGAATTCCATTCTCTCCATTTTCTGTTCGTTTTTGGAGAGAGACAAAATTTTTCACATTGAAGGATATTTTTCTTCTTATTTAATTAGAAGGAAAAGTTTACTTTCTTAGGAATGATACTTTGCATCTGATGTACTGATTTTAGTGGAGCTCTCATGTTTGCCTCTTCCATGATGCTTCGAGCTTAAGCCTTCAGCCACAAAAATATAAAGCACAGAATAAAAAATGGAATCTAGGAGGTGGAAGCACATAATACATATGAATTTACCACTACTTATGATGTCCCTGTGAATTAGGCTTCCACTGGTGCCTTTTTATATTATTGCTGGTGATCAGCAAGCGGCGTCCTCCAAAGCTTTCTATTTTCTTATTTTGTTTTGTTTTGCAGGTTTTGCTGGGTAGACGGCTTGCACTTATAGAATTGGAACTTCTCAGATTAAATTTCTAAACATCCGTCATGGTTGGAATATACGAAGCTTTGTAAAGTAGAATAATGAAACTGAAATGTATTTAAGTTGTAAAAGTTGAGTTATGTGTGTGTTTTTTTTTCTTTTTTTTCTTATGAGAAGGGTTATTGGGAAAGGGTAGTGGTATAATGATGAAGTATGCTGAAATCCAGTAGACATCATTAGAAACTGTGGTAATATTAACTTTTCTAAAAAAATTATTGATGTCAGTTTTTTGAAAAATATATTGCTTCTATGATATAAGTGGCATTGGATTATTCACCATAGTATTACCAATGCTCTGTTCATTTCACAGTATGTGAACTAATTCCAAACATTTTTTCAAGTTTGCAAAAAATGATAACATTATAAGATCGCAGTATTATGCACCACTTATTTAGAATATGCCTTGGAGCGCAACTCCTAAAAGTTGTGACTGTTATGATGGAGATGGTGTTAGGATTTTTATCTTATGTCTGAGCTAATTGTGGTTCACGTCACCCTTGTATGTGAATCGAGATAAAATATTACCAATGCACCATTATAGTGATGCACAACAATTGTACATCATACAGCTATGTTGCACTGCCTATTGTCAAAGTTTGATTTAAGGTGGCCATTTGTGTTCAATATTAGTGTTTGTTATTTTTTTCCTTTTTATAAAACGAGGCTGGATCCTGGAATCTTGCAGGGATGAATTTGATCTCTTGATACCTTTTTTAAAAAAAAAATTACTGCTATTCATCCTCGTAGTGCACACCATGAACAACCTTGATGCTCAAGAGACTAAATTTTTACTTGATTCCTCATCACCATGAGCAACCTTGATGCTCAAGAGACTAAATTTTTACTTGATTCCTCGATACTTATCCCTTAATTTAACCAACATTTCCTATACTTTATCCAGTTATTGAGTTTGTTTGGCTTGATAAGCTGTCATTTGACTTGAAAGGAGGGAAGCTATAAGCATTTGCTCTACAATTTTGCTAAGCATGAGCTTTAGCCTTTTCATTTATCCTTCAATTGGAGCTTCGAAAGTTTTTATGGTAATTATTTGTTTTGCATTGTTTACATTGAACATTAATACCTATTAAAATCCATTAAAGTTTTGCTAATTTTAAACAATGCAACAGAAAAAGGTTTCCATTTCTCATTTTCCTCTTTTATGTTGTTTAACGTGGAATAGGATGGCAATAATGAGGGCATGCCACTTTTGTTTGGTAAGGGTGAACACCTTATCTTAAGGCGCTAGAAAATGATAAGGACAAGAAATACAGAACTAATGATTGTGTTAGCTCACTTCTTTATGGTGCTAAGAAATGATATCTTACTTGAGTGGAAATTTTGGTAGTAAGTCTCGTTTAAGATTAGTTAGATTTTGATGATGATACTTAGATGTGAATCTGAGGAGCATTAGTCATTTATTCATTGGAGAAAAAAAAAAGGATACGCATTAGAAAAACACAAAAGACCAAGTTTAGTTGCAGGAGTTCAAGTTATTGCGTGGTAAATTTTGAGAAAAAAGATGATGGGTCTCAGAAGATAGAGGATGAGATGGATAGCTGAAAATATAATGACGGAGAAGATTGCTTTAATGATGGGTCTCAGAAGATTGCTACTAGGCTATGCATGTCACAAACTAAGGCAATTTGTTGTTTAACTCATTAAGCGTCTGATCTTGTACTTTGTTAAAACAATTTATTCAGTAAAGTATTGAAACTTGGAATGGAAAAAAAGTCAAAATTTATATGTTAGTATTCGTGTTATTTCAGGAAAGGCCAGATAATTGGAGGGAAGATGCTTATTATGGTCAACGATTGTATGCTAATATTGCAAGTGCTATTTCAGAGTTTGAGCCTGTTACACTCTGTGTCAGTGCTTCTCAGGTTAGAGCACTCCACATGTTAGTCATTAAAGTTGTTTCATGGTTTTAAGTATTGGGTATCTTGTCAGTTCCACCCTCTATAATTATTCACTGACTTCCATACTTGTTCATGATTCAGTACACCAATGCTGTTAATTTGCATAAAGACAAACATAATGTTCGAATAGTAGAAATGAGCATGAATGATGCCTGGTTTCGAGATACTGGCCCAACTGTGAGTTTCTCCATTTTTTCATATTTTCTCACTTTGTTCAGAACATCCTTTTTAGGATTTTTAATTTGACAAATTTGTAGAATAGTTTGTTATTTTTGACAGTAAGCTGCACTCAGAGCTCCCAAAATATCAAGTTGCTGGCATAGATTGGAACTTCAATTGCTGGGGTGGTATGGGTTTAATGCTACACAAAGTTTGTTTATCTTCTATCTTATATGCATATGGAATTCTTGTCTTTGTCATCCATTCTTGTTTATGTAAGTTCTGTGTTTTTTGGATTGATATAACTGAAGAAGAACCGTGTGTCTTCTTGCATGAAGGGATGCAACGTATCCCCTAACAACAAAGCATCTTAATAATAGTAAATATAACTAAAGAGAATATTGAACTTGTTGAACTTTCTTTGTGCTTGTCTTGTATCTTATTCATTTGGTGTAAATCTGATTCTCGGTTCAGCTGTTCTGAAAGGTTGAAATCTTTACAGCAAAAAATTTTCACATAATGCCGTACGAAGCCTGTTCTTATGCTTTGATATTAGCATGTATCTCCTTCAGTCTTTCATATAAATATATTATATCTCTCACCTTTTAATTAGATGATCACTCCATACTATTCTTCACATTTCTTTGTCATCTTCCCCAGCATTATATTTATTTACAGATGATCTACATTCCAGTTCTTGCACTTGAACTGTATTTAAAATCAGCGTTCATTATCTAAGTTGCATCTTTTATTACGTGGCTGCAGCTGAAAGAATATTATTATCCTGTTTGTTGAGAGGTTGAATGCTTACATGCTTATCACTCGTTTGGAACTATGATACTGAAATTCGTGTGATTACATCGGAAGATGTTGTTCGTAGTGGCTGTGAAAGCATTGATATTTCTACATGCTCGAGCTCATAACTAGCAGTACATAGTTAATTTTCTAGTGGGATTTTTTTTAGGACTGTTGTAAACTTGATCTTCATGGTCTTAGTTCCCTTATAATGATTCATCAGTTCTACATTGGTACATGGATCTTTATATTTATCGTTATCAAGAGATTAAAATTGGATCCTACGGCTGTAACAATATATTAAGCTTAGTGGAGACTTTCCTTGCAAGCTTGTTATAAGCTTGTAAATTGCAGCTTGGAAAGATCTCTTAGGGTGTTTTTGGCTGCATTCAGAATTTATGTTAATTAGGATTTAGTAAATCCGGTAAATCCGTATTTATCAAATCCATATGCTGTTAAATTCAGAATAATGTTTGGTTCGGTTAAGATTAAATCCAGTTAAAGTCTTTAGAGGTGTTTGGCATTTTATTTCCAAATCTTATAGCAATTGTTTTCTTCCCAAGCTAACTCCGTCAAATACATCAAATCGTCGGATTTAACAAATTTGGATTTATGTCCAAAAATGGACAGAACGGAGAGGAAAATGGATTTAACGAAGTGCTAGATTTTGGTTCCCATTTTGTTTTTTTCTTGTTTGGCTGGATTTACGATAAATGCAGCCATAAATCTTGTTAAAAGTACGCTACCAAACACCTCTTTAAAGTTTTATAATGAGGATGGTAAAGATTCATTGTGTCATGACCTGATCTGATAGCTTAGCATTAACTAAGTCAGGAATTACACTTGAACCATATTATCATTTATTTTACTTTCCGCATATTTTCATAACTTCAATTTATAAAAGTGCCACCAAGAAACTACAGATTACATGACACAAAAATGAAATCATATAAACTTAATAACAGAGTTTGCAAGTAAACATCTCAAACTAACACTCAACAATATCACTATTTAGAAGTAAACAATACAATAACTACAACCACAACACAACTTAAAATCTATCAATAGTAGTGCTCTTCATGTAAACCATCTCTTGTCTATCAGTCATATGACTCATATTAATCTAATGTTTTCTTGAAAACAACAATTAATTTTTAAGAATAAATTACACCACTTTGTGAGCAATTACAATCTTTTTATGTATTAAAGTAATATATAAATGTCATGCATGAATGTCCCAAAAAATACAATTTATTAGTAAATCAAATTGTAAGCTTTCATTTTTAATTAAACTTTTCTCGTTTTAATTTAAGTTTTTATCATTTTTAATCTCTTTAAGAAGTCATATCAGGATTATCGTCATACCTGAAAGAATTCTCAAAATTTTAACAGTAGGTGCCCTTAAAATTTTGCACTCAAATATACAAATTTATCATTTTTATTTTCTTTTCCATGTATGGGTACGTCGCATCCCCTATTAGTACCATATTGGGATAATCGTGTATGACTTAGTTTTTTTTTATTTCATTTTCTTTGATTACCTCTTTTTAAAGTCATTGAAAAATCATTTTCCCTTTTTATCATTTCATTTTATTCATTTCAATGATTCTTTTAACTGACAACATGCATATAACTATAAAAATAGATATGTGAAGCAATAATGCAAGTCTTTGATTGATAAAATATCAATTTAATACATATAAAAAATAATTAATCATGTTAATCTTGCTTGTCTCCCTAATCTTATATCTCTAATGTTATAGGTTCAATTTTTCAACTTTAATTGTTGTTATAAATTAATATTTTATTAAATTTTAATTCTAAATTAAATAAATTAAACTTTAATTTAAATTAACATATATGCTTCAATGTGACACACTCGATCTCGAAATTGAATCTTCCTTTCTTTAAATATTTTTTTTATTTCAATTATAGTTAATATTAACACTTAATGAATAAACATATATATATATATATATATATATATATATATATACATACATACATACACACATATATGCAATTATCAATAAAAAAATTTTACACAAAAGAAATACTATTAAAAAATAATTGGCGTAATGAATTTGCTGGCTGAAAGAAAAGTTAATTCCACCCCTACAAATAAGCTCAAGGGGCATAAAAATGCTCTAGGCATGTATATATATATACATAGATGTACATAATATATATATATATACATCGATGTACATAATATATATATATAGATGTACATAATATATATATATATATATATATATATA